CTTCCGTCAAAACCCCATGAGCAAAATAATAAAACTTCTGTTTCTGCTGTATTTGCTGTTTTCATGAGTTGAAGAATCACTTCTGACTGATAACTACAAATTCTGCTTACGGTGTGGTTTAATAAACCTTGAAGTGATACTTCTGCAACTGTCTCAGTTATAATAATTGAGCTTGATGGTGGTCTACAAATAGTTTTAGTTTCTCTGACAATATTGTAAGCAGGCCAATTATCAGCCCCACTTTTTATGCTGGCTGATCTCATATTTGTATACTGAGCTTTAGAAAGTGAATTGTTTAATAAAAAAAGTAAAGCTTCTTCAGGTGTTTTTTTTTATTATTAAATTCCTGGGCTCGTCAAACATTTTCCTTGCTTTTGCTGACTGTTCTGGATCTTTTTCAATTTCGTCTACAAATTTCACCATATCTTTATCTCCCGATTTTTTAGCAGCATAGCGACACACTTGTAATAATTTATTTGGATCATTTTTAAGTTGTAAACTTACTGTAGCAATTTATCGCCTCTTCGATCGTTCCGATTTTTCATAAAATTCGAGACTTGGTCTTCCTGGACGTTTTTTCTCGGCAGAAGTAGACGTTAAATCCTTAATCTTGATTCTCAAGCTTCCAACTTTAAAAGCAGATTGCGACCAATTCGAATTTTGTTTGAGAAATCTGTCTTTCATCCGATTTGATGCATCCCAATTTTGTTTGAATTTGCATAACAATGTATTCACAGACTTCGTTAATCTACTTAAGTCATCAGACTCTGCCATCTTTATATCTACATTTCTTTTTTCCATAATATAGTTCAATACTAAATTTGTGCATTGTGACACATAGCTGAACCTTCCGTGGACTAAATCAACCAATTCTTGTTTTAAAATTATAACCTCCAAGTCCGAGTTCATGTTTGTTTAGATCTACCAATGGAAATATTGCATCATTTCTATGCATTTCACCTGTAACTCACCTGTGAAACGTATTTATTTAATACATTTATATACGATAAATTATAAATGATGCTAAATCCGAAAATTAATAATTAAATCCGAAATTTAATGAGTTATTTTCACTATATACATAACATAGTTCGTTTAGAAGAATCGATATCCTCCATTGCATTATCATAAGATATTAAGGAATTGAAAAACAGCGCCTTCTATTTAAAAAAAGATTTGAAACCATTGTGTAAAACAAATATTTCAGACAGTAGGATGTAATTTTCACAATAAATAAACTTCATTTAGAACAATAATAATATTTTATATGAATATCTATACAAAATAACGCGAAAAAATGAGAAAAAAATTTTTGTTTTTTGTTTTTTGGTATATTTAGTCCACCTTCGCAATATGGGCAAAATGGGGCTGGTTTTTTCGAAAGAAGAAACATCAAAGGGGACAACAAAAAAAAGTTTAGCTCATTACCTCGTGGAAATTTTTGGAGTTAAGTTCCGAAAGTGAGTCAAACATTGAAAAATGTCAAATGATAAAATATAAACTATAAGTTTGTCAAGAGTATTAACTAATTCAACAAATTGAAAAATTGTACTATATTTTCAGACTAATTACTCTGATAAAAATATAACAGAAAGGTGAAATTTATATATATATTTCTGAAATATAAACTTAAAAGTTATATTAAAAAAAATTTTTTTAAACATATTTTTCACTACATTGCATTCTCGTCGGTCCAAAAAGTAAACTAAAATGTTTAGAATGATTATGAATACTTAATTTGGGCGATATTAAAGCTGACTAAACATGTTTTAGTTGAAATTCAGTTTTTTACTTTTGGCCGAAATTCAAGGTCTTCTGGCCCACTGTGCATTGTTAAAATAATAAACTAACTTTTAAGATTCTTGAGTACATTTTGAACAAATCAAGAGTAACTTGAAAATGCTTAGAATTCAATAAATATAATGAAAATGAGCGTATATATTTATATTAGAATTTGTAGTCTTGTAAAGAAATAACAATAAGTGATTTACGAATACACGAAAACTACTCCACTGATATTAAAACTACTTTTAAGTTTCTCAAAGCAATCTTAGACAACAAAAAAAATGTATGAAATTTAATAAAAATTTTATGTCTCTCATTCGTTTGCTGTTATTTTATTACTAATATGAATGTGTAACTCAAATCAGATTTACATTCGAAATATGAAAAGTATTAAATAATGTTTAGACAATTGTACGAGAATTTTTCAGTTGATTAAAATAAATAAACTTTTATTAAGCATTTTGTTAATTAAAATTTATTTCATTCAACCCAGTTACTTATTTTAATTTCTGTCAAAAACATGCATAAAAATGTCCTTCTCTCAGACTGGCATAGAACGGAAAGAAACATTTATGTATTTTTACTTTATTGTAATTTACCAAACGATTTAAAAAAGACCCAGACTAATTGAAAATTCGACAATCTTATCCATCAATGCCAACAGAAAAGAAATACGAAAGCGTTCCGTATCGTCAGCTGTAGTTGTTATTCATCATGCGCGTTATTGGATGATGGGATAAAATCCATGTAACAACTCCAACTCTAGTGTGAAACCCGCGCTTCCTATCTAAATCTAAAAAAAGTTTTTCAAAAATTAAAGTCGATTTTCAAGATCGTAACGACTTGGCAAGCGACAAAGTAAAATTTATGAAAAGTCGTTTGCAAATGAAACTCCGACTGAAGTTTATATCGTCTCTGCCTCACTTTAAAAATATCTTTTACTCTGTCGTTTTTGTTGTTCGTTTTTGACGTGTGAAGTCTAGGATATCGTCTCGGGGTTGTATTGCTATATTTGGAGAAGGGATTTCCTTCCTTGGAAGGAGGCGAATCCCCAAATTGTGCCTCCCATACTACTCAAGCTGAGAATTTTAGGAGATGTAGGAAAAATGGCAACGAGTTCATTTACTTAAACTGCAAAGGCATCTGTTCCAACGTCGTCTTCATCTAATTTCGAAAAAGTAGCATTTATTCACTTTCAATTAAATAAACAGGTTAGCATTATTCGATCGAAAACTAATGTATGTACAGTGAAACCTGTCTATAACAATACAGCATTCACTTAAAAATCTGAATTATGTTAAAAAGTACCGGAAAAAAAAGCGCCTCATAAACTATTATATTAATGTATTAACATTCAATTCGCGCCGTTGGGCACGAATTTAAATCAATAAAATATTTATTCGAACGTAATTACATTTTTTTTTGAAAAATGAACTAAGATACAAAGTTTAATTTGAAGTTGAACTGAAAGGATTTTATAATATTTTACATTTTTTTTAATTGTAAATATAATTTAATCATGTATAATAGTATTGTTTCAAATAACAAATCAATTTAAAGTAGTCTCTCGGTGGTCAATTTTTAAATATTAACGATTAAGTTTTAAGTTAAAAATATTAAGTTGAAAATAAGTTTAAAATATTAACAATAAAGTTTCTCAATTGAATACAATTTGAAATTATTAAGAAACATCTATCTGAAAAAGTCTTATTTGTATATTAATCGATTGCACTAAAATGAGTGAACAATTTTAGAGCTGCTGAAGAGTCCTAATAAATTAGCTAAATCGAATGAATTGGAAAAGGTTTTAAACTTTAAAGGTTTTGAACTGTAAGCTTCAAATTAATTCATATATATCCGTTAATTTTTATTTCAAAAAAATATCTTGTTACCTTTGAATAATTATTGAATTATATTATTTATGCCCAATTTTCCTAATTGAATCGAGCGTTACATTTATATACTTAATTAGATGCTTTTATCCGGTGCTCTTTTCTTCTGTCCTCCAAAACAAATATGTGTAGTAATCTACACGGATCATTCTTTAGGTAATATAAACATCGATCTAATATTTATTCACGTATTAAATAATAAATATTTTTTTGTGTTCATTTTTTCTGTCCAACAAATTTACTACAATGGATACCAGCATGTGACGTATGCATGTGGGTATCTCGATCCTGATGGGTTGTTCAAACATGGCATTTGTTTACGCTAGCAACTGTTTTTTCCATTCTAATTCGAATAAGCCAAACCCTGTCAAGTAGCAAATCTGTTAGGTAACACATTTTAAATTCTTTCACAATCATTTCAATTCTTTCACTATATATAGTTACACAGAGACTTAACACAAAGACAGACTTAACACAAGACGAAGCCATTTGGAACATAAACTAACTAATTATGCATCTAAGTTTCCAGGTACACAAAACAAAAATGTCATCATGGTTGCAATAAAATAAATAAACAAATAATAAACCTTAATGGAGTAAAATAAGTAAACGAGAAGGAATTATATTTCAACACATTCGATGAACAATACGACTCTGTATTTAATAAACTTTGCGTTGATTATCATTCCAAGTTATATATACACAACTTTAATACGCCATTTTGTTGATAAAGAGTTTCTGATGAAGGAGCTCTGACGTCATAGTTAAGCATCGGTTGTCTTTTTCTGCTCAGAGTGCAAGTGCCCTAATGCTTTTCAACTTTTTTTTCTTTGTCAAAATTTCTAGGTTTACTAATGGGCATAATTTGTCCCATTATATTGGGAAACAATATATTTTTTTGAACATCCATGCGTTTTGGATCATCGATGAGTTCTTGGAAGTTCTGTTTCTCCAATTCTGAAGTTCTCTGTTTCTGAAGAAGTAAAATCGAAATTTTCTCCATGTGTTCCATTTTCAAGCACCAGAAATAGATTTCAAAATTTATGATGTAAATATATTCTTTTCTGTCCCTTCTTTTTAAATAATTATGAAATAAATCTTGGAATAACTATTCTTTTTTTTTTAAATTTCTGAAATCCAACACTAATTTTTATTATATTTGGACTCATTCTTTTTAAAAGAATTTTTAGAAATGCCAGTACATAAAAGTTTTGACTATTCATGGTAATTTGATTTATTTATTATATTTTATCTGTTAATTATTATTTACTTATTGTTATTTATTGATTGCTATTTATTGATTGTTATTCATTCATTTTGCAGCAACTCAGTCGGCGTTACATAAAAGGATTTTTTACTTCGACTGCAGTTAATTTAGCGCAAGTTATCAAATAAAAAAAAGACTTTCTGAATCTTCAAACAGAAAAAACAAAATGTGACGAAGTAAATAGAATCTCTCTCCCTACTCTACGAATGTATAAACACTTCATTTTATAAACATTTAAACTAAATGTTTCATTTCTTAATTTCCAAACTTCAAAAATGCTAATGTTTTTAATGTAGGTGTGTGTTAAGCAGCATGATGCTTATCTTTTAAAAAAATTTCCGTGCGTTTAAAAAAATACTAGAACGCTCATTAAAGTAATTTTCTTAAAACATTATTTTTTTATTGTTTGACTTTTTAAATCAGATTATGTACATAAAATATGAATATGATTTTTTAATACTTTTAAAGTGATGGATTATAATGCCAAAAGAAAAAAAAAAGAATTTCTAAGTTGAGTTTAAAAGTTTTGGCCAACATTTCTTTGTTAAATCGGTATCAATTGAAAAAGAGAATTTCGTAAATGGTGCGGGCCATTTTATAAAAGTTGTTGTTTTCCTCGCCTGTATTTGATTTATTTCTTGCTACAATTTTTTTTCGTTAACTATTAAAGTTTCCCAACCTATCATTTTAAAAGCATTCATTTTATATCTTCATATAACATAATGGTCTAACACAGTTTTTCATTGTTGTCGAAGCATTTTTATTGAACGGAAAATCACATGGTAGGATAAAGTTTTCCCACATTAATATCCATTTCTTTTTGGTTATCATCAGCATAAGGTTCATAAAAGTCAAAAAAGTTTCCAATAAAATATTTTTGTATCCCTAATTTACAAGTATTTACTTGTAATATTTATTTGTTTCATTTTACTTTGAAATTATTACGCTTTTATTTTCGAATGCTTTCTAAATTTTGAGTTTAAAACTAAATGAGTTGTTTCTTTAACCGCTTTACAATTATTATTTTTTGGTTCAAAATACCTTTACATACAATAATCATAGATGATAGTTTACAAGAGGGGACTCCTCTCATTATGGATGTTTTTTTGATGGCGCCAAAAATGGATACATATTTTTTTATAGTTTTTACACATCATTTTCAAAACTACTGAAACACATTAAATCACTTTATATTAGCAATGGATATTAAAAACATTCAATAAGGTTCCGGCCTAGATACACTGGGCCTACACCTGCAGTTATGATCTGGGGATCCTATGACAGCAGAAACACTCACGGGGTTATTCCACGAACCTTGGCTGCAAATTAATACGTCAACTTGGTGATTAAACCTGCTTTGTAGCGTTTCATGAGCATCATTCAAGATAGTATTTTGCAACAGGATATCGCTCGACCTCATACTGCTCTTGTAACCCAACATGCTCGACTCGTTGCTTTGGCCTGCCAGATCACCAGATCTTTCGCCAATCGAGCACGTATGGGACATTATTGGACGACCACTTCATCGTCATCCCCAACCAGCATTAACTATCCCTGTATTGAAAGACCAAGTGTAACAGGCATGGAACTCCATCCCACAAAATGACACAATGCGTGCTTGCATTCAAAATTCTGGTTGTTACACCAGTTTTTAATGAACCAGTATTTCACGTTCGAAATGGTTTTTCTCTTAATTACATTAACCTGAGATCTTTAAATTTTAATCAATTCAATAGGTTACTCAGACAAACGTATTGCCCAAATTTCATAACTTTACAATAATTTTTTTCTTGGTGTTGGGATTTTTTTTCCCCTTCATCTGTGTGTATTCGTATAGCGTGCATAATTCGGCATAAAAAATACATTTTAAAACCTTCTTAAAACATTCCATCTATTTTTAATATTAAAATTAATGAAATTGTTGTAAGGTTAGAACGTCATGGTCAAATGTTTGACGTTTTTCACTATTATACTTTTTTTTGTCGTAAAATAAAATTATATGAGAAAAAAATTTTGTTAAATACGTTTCAAAACTGTAAAAAAGAAAATATCCAATCAAAGTATTTTATTTCTTTGATATGCAAGAAAATTTATGCGGAGGCTATTATTTCGTGCATTGTGAAAACTGAGATCAATCCGAATTTGGTGCTCAAAAACTCTTAAAATTATGTTATTTCAAGTTAATACCGAATCGATAATTTTATAGGCGTTTTAAAGGTTGTAGTTAAATCTTAACTCCAATAAATGAGGAAGCTTACACAAAGCTCAGATGCATTTACTCCATTCATGAATAATTTTCACTAATTTTGTTGTACAGTGCGCCAAAAAAAAGAAACATCCTGAATAACTTTTGATCTAATGATTGAATGTGTACGTTTTATTACTCAAACTTAATGATTCGAAGGGATGACCTCAAATATGCTAATTGATTAGTGCAGACGATATTTTAAGTTACAAAATCAAATACAGAAACGTACTTTCTCATAATTACACACCTTTTTTCGACGGATTCGGAAAAAAGTCGTATTTTTAAAATTTGATTTCTCAGGAACTATTTGACCGATTTCACTCAAATTTTATATTTTTACATGTAAAATTACGTACTTTAAAATGATGTGATAAATTGTATACCTTACTATCTAAAAAATGTTTCAACTATGATTAAATAAAATAATTAAAAATGGAAATATTTCTGAAAAACTATATTTTGCAGGGAAACGAATTTTATAATTGTGTGCAAAAATGTTCTAATTTAATTAAAAAGTTCTCGAGATATGGTTAAATAACACAAAAAGTAAAATTAACATTAGAGGGTCCAAACTATGGATCGCTCTCCTAGCCAAACTATGTGGATCCTGACTGAGGTTACCTTTTATATTTTGGCTGTCAGATATCTGAATGCGTCGAANCATAATTACACACCTTTTTTTCGACGGATTCGGAAAAAGTCGTATTTTTAAGATTTGATTTCTCAGGAACTATTCGACCGATTTCACTCAAATTTTATATTTTGACATGTAAAATTACGTACTTTAAAAGGATGTAAAAAATTGCATACCTTACTATTTAAAAAATGTTTCAACTATGATTAAATATAATAATAAAAAATAGAAATATTTCTGAAAAACTATATTTTGCAGGGAAACGAATTTTATAATTGTGTGCAAAAATGTTCTAATTTAATTAAAAAGTTCTCGAGATATGGTTAAATAACACAAAAAGTAAAATTAACATTAGAGGGTCCAAACTATGGATCGCTCTCCTAGCCAAACTATGTGGATCCTGACTGAGGTTACCTTTTATATTTTGGCTGTCAGATATCTGAATGCGTCGAAAAAAAAGGTATGTTAATTCAGTTTTTGTGTTTGATTTAGCAACATAAAATATTGACTGCACTAATTAATTAGCATATTTGAAGTCATCCCCTCAAATCATTAAGTCCAAGTCCTTGAACGTACATTACTCATGTTTTTCTCTTTTTTAAAAAAATAAATGTTAATTTTCTAAAATCATTAAAATTGTATAATTAAAAACCTTACTTGTATCAACCTTTTACTAAATAACATTTACCCCGAGGAATCAGTCTTGATGATATTATTATTTTAATTTTTTGGATTTGGGTATTAAAAAAAGAAGAAAATACCTGCTTTGTTGATTTATACGATGAAAGAAATGATTTTAAATTTAATATAAATAAACTAATTATTTGGAATTCCAGCTTCTAAAAACATATATTTAAATACCATTTTTAATCGAAAGAATAGAATAAAAAGAATCTGTAGTAATGTTTATTTCTCCAAAAAACAAATAGGCAAACTCTTTTACAATTTGATAAAGAAAGCAATGGATACCTTACTAAAGTAATTAAATTCTATATAAAATCATTGAGTAATTAACACGTTATTATTAATAAATTTACTAAGAACTTCGTTGTTAATTTATCTAATTTTTACCATGTGCAAATTCAATTCAGGCAAATCCGTAACTAAAAATCCGTACAAAATGGGCGAATCATGTTTCTTACTCTCTCTATTATTTTAAAAAAAGTAAATGTTATTTACTAAAATCATTAAAATTGTACAATTAAATATCAACCTTACTAATTTCTAACCTCGTTAAGATATCCAGTATAATATTATTACCTTTCTTTCATCCATTTTCGGGCCAATCCTTGGTAAATCAAACGCTCTTCAGTACTGTAGTAAGAACGCGTTATAAAACACAATCCCACTATTTACGCTTTTAGCTCCATTTGCGCTTCTTTTAACATATTTTGTAATCAGCCAATCTTATTAGGAAATTATCCCGCAGTGGACTGATCGTTAAGACACGGTTCCCAGCAAATCACCAAAGTCGAGCATCACTGTGTGCGAGTGGGTGACCACTTGGATCAGTCTGCGTAGGGACCGAGGGTGTGCGGTATGGGTCCTCGTTAAACTGTTCTACCNATGACCAAAATTGGTAGTTGTTGACTTCCACAGGTGAATTTCGACAATCGCATAGTCGCTTTGGTAAATGTCCGAAATATACACTATACTAAATATATATACTAAATACTAAATATATACCGCAAACTGATGATTTTTTAAAGTTAAGTTCCACTACCCGGTAAGCAATTTATCGGTACTCGAACACTGTGTTTTTCCTAATATATATATATATATTTAGAAATGGAAGAGAATTTATACAACCAGGTATATAAACTCTAAATCTAAATTTTTTTTTTTTACAAGTAAAAAGTAGAATAATCATGGTTTTAACACAGAACGTAAAGAAATTTCTAATGTTTCAGGAAAATTTTAGAAGGATCTCAAAGTTGCGTCAATGTTTTGGATAAAATGTCTTTACAATGACTCAAGATGTTTCTTTTTACCGACTTTAACTGTGTTACTAACTTCTCTCATTCAGATCATCTGTTCTTTCTTTTTTATTTCATTTCAAATTTAAGTTTCCCATAGATCTCATTCTCCGCTATAATTAAGCTTAGAGTGTCACAAAATGTCAAAGCAATAAAATAAGAGTGATCTCCAAGAGGAAATGGGCGGCTTTGAGAACAAATCGGTACTCATTTTGAACCTATGCCATTTTCTCGTTGCAAGAATAACCACTCATTAGAACATTTCACAAATGACTTTCTTCCCATTTGAAAGAAAAGAAGTCAATAAAAGATTAAATAATAAGAAATAAAGTCATGTAACAAACTATTTTTAAAATGAATGTAGTTGCGAGAAAATATTTTCAAATCACTGTTAAAAATATAAAGAAAGGAGCATAGCATCTAGTATACTAAAGCACTCTTTAATTCTTGTTAAAAGTGGGAAATATTTTAATTGGAGCATCGTGGCAGGATGCTTCTATCCAAACGGAGGTACTAAAGAGATTAAAGCAACGTGAATAAAG